TGTTTCTAGAAAGGGGGTGGGGCCAGGTGGGGCTCCTGCCCAGCTGTGCTTCTGATTTGCCACTGAAGATTTCATGGGCTGTACAGACTGAAATAACATTGTTTTGGTTGCACTGCCACTACAGTGATGGTTTTATTCTCTCTCATTCTTCTTTCCCACTTTATTTTTAAAGAATTAATTCTGTTGTCCCCTGCACTTGGACTCCCTCTGGTTGTGCGTGTATGTGTTTGGTTCTGACTCCCACGGTGGCCATTTTGTCATTGTGCCTGCCATCCTCTGTCAGAATTCAAAAGGTGCTCACAGGCTCAAAAAGGTTGGGGGACCCTGTTCTATACGCTCTCCCCCTTTGCATTTGCCCTTTTCTTAATAGAGAGAAGAGATAGGATTTATACCCCGCCCTTCACTACCTGAAGGAGTCTCAGAGTGGCTTACAATCCCTTTCACTTCCCCTCCCCACAACAGACACCCTGTGAGGTAGGTGGGATGAGAGAGCTCTCTCAAGAACTGGCCTTGAGAGAACAGCTCCAAGAGAGTTGCAACTGACCCAAGGTCACACCAGCAGCTGCATGTGGAGTAGTGGGGAATCAAACCTGGTTCTCCCAAATTAGAGTCCACGCTCCTAACCACTACAGTAAACTGGCTCTCAGCTCTATGCCCTCTTAGTAATAGTAATCTATTCTTAGGCCCCGGTCACACGGGAAGCGTGGCTGTTTGCCCCGGAGCAAAATAACGTGCGGCTGCGCGATCAGACGTCCCGTCGAGGTCCCGTGGTTAGGGGGGAGGTGCCGATCACAGGACAATCCTGTGGTGCAGCAAAGAAGCGGCCTCCCTAGCAAAAGGCTCCGGGTTTAATCCCTTCCAGGGCCGCAGAGGAATGCAAACTGTGTCCTCCGTCTGGTCCCCTCCAGGAGGAGCTTCAGCCAGGCCGCCCTCCTGCCACCACCACCCTGCACCTCCCCCTCTGCTGCCCGGTGCAGAGAGTTCCTCTCGAGCAGGCCGAGCCAGGAGTGGGGGGGGTACAGAAAAGAGGAGGGGGCTGTGTTGTTTGTTTTTAAACGAAGTGTGCGCATGTGCTGTTGGGTGCTTGTGCGCATCCCGTGGAGACTTGGGGGGGAAAAAACCTTTTAGCGACGGGACATGGGCGGGCACCGAATTCCACGACCTACCACTGGAAACGTGATCAGGCGCCCACCCTTGCCCCGCGGTTTCCAGAAACTAGTACCTCGGAGGTACTAGTTTTTTACCCCGCATCTTCAGCGGGAAGCCTCGGGTTCACCACGGGAGCTCTACGCTTCCCAGATGTGGTGCTGTGATCACGCCCAGAAAATCCGCCTATCTTCCGTCTCTGTAGCGTGGCTAATGCTCTGTGTGACCGCAGCCCTAGTAATTAATAGTAATGCTCTCTTATTAATAGTAATCTTGTCTCTCTCCCCCCTCCTCGGTATTTTGATCTTTCAATTTGAGGGGGAAATCAATACAAATGTTATTTTTTTTAAAAAAATGTGGAGTTTGTTTTTTAAAAATTGGGTTAACACTGATAAAGGAACGTACAGCACTTTAAAAAGTAAAAAGGGGACTGTGCATCTGAATGGGAGAGGAGCAAGAGACAAAATTAGCATGGAAATATCTGGCATGCATGTCTCCTCTTTGCATCGTGAGACCCACAGAGAACTGATTGGAGGATCTAACCAGAACTGGAAAAACCCAGCGGGATGCCATGAAGCTCACTGAGGTGGCACTCCTAAGGACACATTCCTGGAGGAAAGACCCCTTGAAAAACATGGGACTTACTTCTGAGTAGACCTGCCAAGGCTCACTCCCTGAGTGACTTTGTGCTAGTCATTCTCTCTCAGCATAGCCTGCATCTCAGGATTATGATGCTACGAGACGATAATTATGGGCTGGAGCCCAGGGACAATTTCTGCATGGGCAACTGTTCTTTTGCAAGCAGAAAACTACATTTAAATCTGCTTGTGCTAATTCAGGGTTCTCCAATGTGGTGCCTGTGGGTACCACGGTGCCACTGACACCTTCCCTGGTGCCCACCAAGCATTTGGTGAGAGCGGTTGACTCTAATCTGGAGAAGCGGGTTTGATTCCCCACTTCTCCACATGCAGCTGCCAGGTGACCTTGGGCCAGTCACAGCTCTCTCAGAGCCCCACCTACCTCACAGGGTGTCTGTTGTGGGGAGAAGGTGATTGTAAGCCACTCTGAGACTCTGAAGGGCAGGGTATGAATCCAACTCTTCTTCTTTAGTGAATCTGACTGTATCCTTTCCCGCATGCTGGAGACACAGCATAAGGTCTTTGTTCTGATACAATTTGAAAACCAAATTAAATTTATTTAGCTTCATATATAACCCATTTTTCTTCCCCTACTGGGAGACTCAAAGTGCCTTACATCATTCTCCTCTCCTCCATGTTATCCACACAACAACCCTGTAGAGTAGATGAGGCTAAGAGTATGTGACTGGCCTGAGGTCACCCAGCCGGCTTCCAAAGCAGAGTGGGGGGGTTGAACCTTGTCTTCCAGATGCTAGTCTGACACATGAACTACTATACCACCGTGGCCAATGTGCCTCACCTGTTGGTATTCCTTTGCTTCAGATGCACATTGTTATTTTGTTAAAAATCCTTATTAAAGCACTATGTGCTGCTGCATCCATTGTGTTACTGCTTGTACAAGCCAAACTGTGCTAAGAATCTTCTCAGTTCTGCTCATGCATTGAAGAGGAGGAGGAGGAGGAGACTGGATTTATACCCCGCCCTTCACTACCCGAAGGAGTCTCACAGTAGCTTACAATCTCTTTCCCGTCCCTTGTGAGAGAACAGCTCTGAAAGAACTTGTCACTGCCCCAAGGTCACACCAGCAGCTGCATGTGGTGGAGTGGGGAATCAAACCCTGTTCTCCCAGATTAGAGTCCGCACTCCTAACCACTACACCAAACTGGCTCTCTCATTGCTGGGGCCCAACTCTATATACCCTTCCCTGCTCCTTGAAGTGGAATAAAAATAGATGCGCGACTGGATTATGAAATTGGGAGGAAGCTGGGATCATCCCACGAGGGGGGGGGGGAGCCTAAGTGACTGCTGTTGTAAAGTTGTATTTATACACTGCCCCAAGAAGAAGTGAATCTAGAAGAATGACCAAAATGTGTACTGTCACAGTGAAACATTTGTAAGGGCAAGAGAGATTTCAGGCTGTAACACAGGCAAGTTCTGAGGCCGGGAACAGATACTTGTAATGAAAGTGGCACGGTTGTATAGAATCTTTGGTAGACACAGGAGTTGTAGGCCCCAAGGTAGAGTGGTAAAGTAGGGATTTAGCTAGACTTGCCTGGTATCGGGATAAGACAATTGCAACATATTCCAGGCTGACTTTTATGAGAAACCTAGGTCGTACAGTGGAGGCAAGAACCCAAAATGGCAGTATCAGTGGTTAAGAAGGGTGTGAGAATGGATATATCCAAAGAGTAAAGTAGGAGCAATTTGTCAGTGGATATCATGCTACTGTAATCCTGGTGGTGGAAAGTTCTACCAAGTTGCAGCTGATTTATGGTGACCCCATGGATTCCTTGGTAGTCTCCCTTCCAAGTACTAACCAGGGCCAACCCTGCTTAGCTTTCAAGATTTGATGAGACCAGGCTAGCCTGGGCCACCCAGGTTTGGGCTAATGTAGTCCTAGACTTCCTGCATTTTCCTATCTGGAGATTCTGGGAAGTGAAATTATTTTGTCTCTAGAAATTTCAGGACGTGAATGATTTCTGAAATGCAATATGGATCTAGCCAAAGACATTTCGGCTAAAGTTATCCAGTTCAGATTCTTGGCCCTGTTTTATCATGGATACATCTACCATGCTAACTGCTTATACAAAGGGTTTCAGATCTACAGCATGCTGAATTTTTAAATTATTATTATTTACCGGCCTCTGCAAAATTACAAATAGCTAGAAAACAGGTTTTAGAAAGACGTAACCAGAGTGTGATGCTTGGCTATCTAATGTTTTGGAAACGCAGATCCATTAAATATTTTCTGCATTTTGTTAGATAAGGGTAAAGGTTTTTGATTTTCTGATGGAATGGGTACATCCCACAGCCATAGGAACATTCAATGGAGTATGAGATATGTTCTAACAGATTAATCAAACTCCCCTTTTTTCAGTCTAATCTGATGTGCCCTTATTGACTTATATTTATTTCTTTTTAAATGTGGAAAGTACACATTTTTTTAAAAAGTACACTTTTTTTAAAAAAAGATTTTTTTAAAAGGCATGGATTTGTAGCCAGTCTCAGAAATGCTTGAATCCTGTAAGCTTCCTGTAACTTAATAAGAGGGATTTCACCACAAATTTACAAAAAGACAGCTGTGATTCCAAGGCCCTTTGGACATATTTGTCATATGACTTGAAGCTCACGCGGGGGGGGGTGGGTGGCCACTTTAAAGATTTTGGGGGGAAGTATCTAGTAATATGCAATTGTGGCATTATAAAATAACATGCCAACTCAGAATACGCCACCCTTATACTGAGTCAGACAATTGGTCCATCTAGCTCAGTATGGTCTGTATGCCATGGTTCTCAGGCAGAGAAAGATCATTCTTTAACCCCTGCAACCCCTGGAGATGCTATGGATTGAACCTGGGAACTTCTGCATGCAAAACGGGTGCTTCACAAGGGACACTCAGATGCTTGCCCAAATATGCCTGTATTTAAATCTGTCTTGATGGTCACAGAAAAAAATTTGGCCTTCTTGTGATATTAATTTCAAAAAACAAACAAATGAAAGAGATGCTTATTTAAATAGTCAAACTGATAGAAAACCCCTAGGGCGAAGAGGAAGCAATAAACCGATTCCAGGCCCTATTCAAATCATCTTTTTCCAGAATTCCCAAATTCCACTCTCTATTGTAACATCTCTTGCTGCTAATACCGCATTGCAAAGCCATTTGCTCATCAGCAAACAAAGACATTAGTAAGGGATCCAGAACAAGGTGTGGTTCCTCTTCTACTTTTTTTTTCACTGAAAAAGATCCTCCTTAGAAATGGCATTTTTCCTTGCCCTTCCCTGAAAAATAATATTGCCCTAAGCTTGAGGTTCTTTGCTAGATGGAGTTATCAGGAGCACGCAAACACTGGCCAGCAGGTAGAGAGTTGTGCTGCTTTTCGGTTCCTGAGTGGAACAGTTTGATCTGTGAGCGTGCGAATGGGAAAACTCCTGTCGCCACAATCTTAGCATAATGCATGGATGCTCTTGTGACTCTGTGGAAGAGTTCAAAAAACAAGCAACCGAGAAAGCAAGATGGAGTCCACGCGCTGTCTCCCAACAGTCCTCTGGTCACACAAATCTCTGGCAGGGGTATCCACCGTTTGCCTTCAGATGAATACGTCTGATTCGGCATCCTGCTTGCCTTTTGCTGTTTCACAGATCCCAAACGCCGGTTCATGGGCGAGTGATGTTAAATGTTATCCAGAGCTGAAAGGACAAAAGAAAAGTAAAGGTGTGTCATGTAGGAAAGCAGTGAAGCACTGCGAGGCTTCAATGATATTAAAGCATCTTTGCAGAATCCAAAGCAGCTCCCTTAAGAGCATGTGCATAAACACACATGTACATCTCATCTGATGATGTAATCTTTTGCAGAATTATTCCAGACCAAACCCATTGATTCTAGGCCAAACCCATTGGTTTCAAGGGTCTTAAAACTGCAATAATACTGCACAGAATTGCACCAAAAAAAGTTTATATTTATTTATAGAAGGGGCAACCAAGATAATCATATCTGTATAAAGGAAGACTTTGTTAGAGGACCTTTCCTATGTGTGCTTAGTCACTTCCAATTCATGATGACCATCCTAAGATGGAAGCAAATTGATGGCACTTAACACACACACACACACACAAATTGCATCAGTGCTTAGTCCTCGTGGCGCTTTCTTACATGCCCGGGGAAATGCTGATCGCCACCTTGGGGTCAGGAAGCAATTTTTCTCCAGGCCAGTTTGGCTGGAGATTCTGGAGGTTTTTTGTCACCTTCTGGGCGTGGAACAGTGGTCACTGGGTGTGTGTGTGTGAATTTCCTGCATTGTGCAGGGGGTTGGACTAGATGACCCTGGAGATCTCTTCCAACTCTGTGATTCTATGATGGTCATAAACATGGATGGCTTTAAAAGGAAAAGAGAGAGGAGGAGGAGAAGAGACTGGATTTTATACCCCACCCTTCACTTGGAGTCTCAGAGTGGCTTACAATCTCCTTCCCTCCCTCTACCCGCAACAGACACCCTGTGAGGCAGGTGGAACTGAGAGAGCTCTGAGAGAACTGCTCTTGAAAGAACAGCTCTGAGAGAGCTGTGGCTGGCCCAAGGTCACCCAAGAGCTGCATGTGGAGGAGTGGGAAATCAAACCTGGTTCTCCCAGATTAGAGTCCGCATTCCTAACCACTACACCAAACTGGTGGTTTGACAGGAGTTTAGACAGATTCACAGAGAAGTGGTCCATCAATGACTACTAGCCAGGGTGACTAAAGGGAACCTCTATTTCCAGAGGCAGTCAACCTCTGAATCCCAGTGCTATAACACCAAGGGAAGGCCTCAGCCTCTATGGTTTGTTTGTTGGTCCTCCAGGGCAACTGTTGACTGCATTAAACAGGATGCTGGACTAGATGGTCACTAGTCTGATCCAGCAGGGCTCTTATGTTCTTATATGCCAGAAGAGACTGAACTGAGGTCCAAATAAAATAATATGGCAGGGAATCCATGACTGGAACTTCTACTTTAAAAGTTAAAAGCATTGATATGGTGGTGGTGGGGGGGTGAAGTAGGAGGGCATTAGGACCACAGTGCTGGGAGAGAAGGTTTTGATTAATGGCAGCTGGGAGTTACCGTTATGAAGATGTACACTGTTATAATTTCTGTTGGACTGGAATGTTTTTATGTATTGTTGCTCATTTCCATAAGCTGCCTTGGGTCCCCTCTTGTAAGTGCGGGACAGGTGAGATAAAATATTTTAATAAATAAAAGGAAATGAACCATTTTCTGCCTCTAAATTAGAGGAAATCCCTATTCAGACCTCCTGTATTCTTGCTTTTAGGTTGAAAACTGCTGCAAGGAGAGGTGTCTGATCTTCGATTCTGGGAAAGAGAGAATCTAAATATAAATCTCCCCACACGCACACCAATTTGCTATTTTCTGAACCAGGAAAGCTATACAGGTACCATAAGGATGTATATATTTAGAGTACCCCTTTCCCAGTACCACCAATTCAACTGCACACTGCTGCCTCCCCACAGCTAATTTCAACTTAACCCCCCCCCCCAAAAAAAACCCCAATGGCGATCCAGTTACCCTAACCCCCATCTTCAGGTTGTCCACGCGCATCCCTGATCCCCACATGTTGCTTACGTATACAAAGGCTGTAGCTGTAAGTGTGACATCTTTTGTGGAGCCTGATAGCCGTACGAGTCAAATCCTCCGATGAAATCAACTGTGGGGCAGCAAGAGGAGAAGAGAGACATTGAATAAGAAACGGTTCAAGGTCCACATACTAAGAAACTGCACGTCTGCAGTTCCTTCCTAATCCCACTCTCTGGTCAATGGGATACTTTCCCAAGAATGGAGTCAACACAAGAACACCTTTTGTGTACCAATGCAAAAGCACTTGTATATCATCTCAAACACAACAGCCCATGCCCTGCCAGTCCACTAAGCAATGTTTTAAGCCCTCCTCTGACTTTTCAGCTCCCAACAGCAGGGTCCTTGGGCTGGAGGAACATCTTCTTGCCAATGGTAGGATACCACCCAAAATCCATAACTTACTGCCTCCTGCCCTTCTTCCATTATAACCCAGTGAGGCAAATTAGGCCAAGAGACTGGCTCAAGATCACCCAGTGGCTGATGGGGACTTGAGCTGACAATTGTCCAGTAATCAAGGGAGAACAAGTAAACGTGAAGTCACAAGTAACTAGTGAAGGGAATCCTCTAAGGATTCCAGGAACCCCTTCCCTTCTGCTGCATAAAAAAAGTTACTTTTCAGTGGTGGAAAACAAACTTGTGACTCAACCTATGGAAGCTCATTAGATCCACGCTTCTTGTCCGCGTGGAAAGCAAATTTCACAAATGGTAAATCAAACAGTACTAAGGCTGTAGTCCAATGCAATGGGGGGGGGGAGTGCCGCCAAGCAATGCTCCCTCTAAGTTGTGGAGTCTTGTGAGCAAAAATTCTACTTTGTGTGCTGCTGGCATTAAAGTTGTGAGCTACTGCATAAATTAGTTTGCTCTGGAGCCATCCTTCCTGAGCTAAGACAAAAACGTGAGCCAGAGGCGAAAAAACTGTGAGCTAGCTCACACTAACTCAGTTTAGAGGGAACACTGCCACCAAGTCACACAGCCAACGTATGGCGATCCCACTGGGATTTCAAGGCAAGATATGTTTAGAGGTGGTTTGCCATTGCCTGGCTCCACGCAGTGACCCTGGGCTTCCTTGGTGAACTCCCATTCAGGGCCAACCTCTGCTTAGCTTTCAGAATCTGACGAGATCAAGCTAGCCTGGGCCATCCAGTTCAGGGCACTTGCCAAGGAATAATATGATGCACCTACCTAGAAATAATATTTACAGGGATTCCTTCCAAGGAAACACTTAGAAATTGGCTATGAGGCAATACTTCTTAAAAGGCAATTATATTTGTTTATATGATTTCTGTCTGGGAGGTAAACAAACAAGCCATATATGATCGGAGCAGGAGGTGTTCCAAACTACCTATAAGAGAACACACAGTACCAATCTTTCTCTCTAAGAAGAGGAACAGGCATATAAAATATGAAGCTGTTTGCATGGAAGAGGAGAGGGGCTGTGACTCAGTGGACGTGCCTCTGCTTCACAAGCAGGAGGTCCCAGTTTCAATCCCTGGCATCCCCGGTTCAAAGGACCAGGCAGTAGGTGATGGGAAAGACCAGAAAACTGGGAGAGCTGCTGCCTGTCTGAGTAGGCAATACTGACCTTGATGGACCAAGGGTGTAATTCAGTGCAAGGGAGCTTTATGAGTTTCTCGATTTTCATTTTTACTGGGTATTTTTTGGGCTGGACAGCAACAGGCACCATTTGATCGATGTTATTAATTACATCAATATGCTGTACTTTTTAAAACAAAATCAAGCAGCAGAAAATGACCCAAATGATTGTATCCAGCAGCTTCCCTGCTTGATACATGGGCAAAAGCCCATCCTCCCAGCTTATATGTTCTTTCTGGTGCTCCCCCCTCCACTACTGAGTCAAAGATGTTTTTAATACACTTTTAATATTAGTTCTGCTGGTGCCGTGCTTCAATCTCATCTTTTAATGGAGTATCTTATTAGGTTTGGAAATGAATGAATGTTGTCAAAAATCGGAGCTCCCTGAATGTTGTTAGAAAAGACAAAGGGAGCCAGGCACGGGGAATGGGAGGGGACTGGTTTCGGACGGCACTCAGGGCTCTAGGATGCCAGATATGATAATTCTTGTAATTTGGTGCTCTGTAAATGGGTTCTTTTCATGTGGAAAGTTTATTAATTTTTTTTGTCAAATACAATATAAACCGCAGGCCGCCAGGAGGAAATAAGCCCTTGCCAGATCCCAATGCACATAAGATATTTATTACAATAGGCTGTGCCCTATTTCACGCAAAAAGGTTTTTAATTTTCCAATATATCCATTTCATAACCTTGTCAAAATGCAAGCTCTAGGGCAGCAGCTGGATTTTATTCAGAGGAATGGCTCTGAATAATTTCCTCCCAGCACCAGGGCTCATCTTTCCTCCAAGGAAGTTCGGAGATGGGTGGCGGGATTCCCCATCAGGGCACCATCCAAACTATGGAAAGATCCAGGCCGATGCCAAGGTCACTGAACCACTGCAGATTCACCAAGAGCCCCCCCCCCAACCCTCCTTCAAGCAATATATACTTAACAGATGGAACTCACTGCCACAAGATGTCGTGATGGCCATTAGCATTGTAGACAGAGAGGAATGACAGACAGGGTGGGACAGACAGGATGGATTGATAAACTTATGGGGTTGGCAAGGAATGGAGAGAGAAAACTTGCTTCCAGAAGCTTTCCCTCACAGAAGAGTTTGTGTGGGAGGAACTGGAGCCGTATGCCCCTTTATTCACCTCAGCTTTGCCATTGCTGCTTGTGTTCATGCCTGTGCCAACCCCCACGCCCCAAGCACTCCAGTTCACTGGGCACTGCCACCAATGTGACTCACAGCCGGAATACTTACAGCTGTCTTCTTCTTCCATAAATACTTTGCTGACGTAGCAGGCGTAGACAAATCCAAAGAGCTTTAAAACAGAAAGAGAGAGACAAAGAAAGCTAATTATCTGAATGTATGGAAACAAGGGCAATTTGGTGAGCATCCAAAACCGTTGTGATGAAAGAAGTTGAATTTTGCCTGTACCTCGAATCATTTGTATGACCTTGGAGCACGCCACATTCCACTGGTCCCCTCACTTTCATTGGCAATACTGGAATGATAATGCTGTCCTACCTTTCAGGGCTGCTGTTATTGTTTTTTTGCCATCAAGTCACAGCTGGCTTATGGTGACCCCTGGTGGTCAAGGCAAGAGACATTCAGAGGTGGTTTGCCATTGCCTGCCTCTGCCTAGCAGCCCTGGGTTTCCTTGGAGGTCTTCCATTCAAATACTAGCCAGGACCAACCCTGCTTAGTTTCTGATATCTGATGAAATCGGGCAAGCCTGGGCTATCCAGGTCAGGGCACTGTAAGGATTACAATCAGATAATATGTGTGATTTATATTATACATGGACACACACCCACCCTGCTCTTATAGTGCCATCCTATGCAAAGTTGCTTCAGTTTAAGCCACTTAGTACAGGCTGACAGTCTCTGAACCCCGGGGTCCCCTTTAGTCATCACGGCGAGGGTGGCACTGCATTGAAAGGCAGCTGCTATGATACCATTAAAAACATCTTACAAAAAAACGGTCAGGGCACAAATACGCATAAGCACCCCAACGTGTACATAGGAAACTGAAAACTGAAGGTCTCCCATGTGCTTAAAACACTCAACGGAGTTATACAAATGGTCGTTATTAGCAATTAAATGGAATGCACTTAAATCCAGGCCTCTGTGCATTTTCGCCGGTCAGAAAACAAAATCAAAATGCTATGGCTTGTATAAATTATGCAAATCCGCATGCTTTTTATTTATTTTTGCATTATTCATTCTGAGCAAGAAACTGGCAATCACTGACGCATGCTCCATCAGCCTTTCTTGGGCTCCTGAAAATTCAGTAAGCACTGCATGAAGACTTTCAAAGTCACGGTCAAAACATCTGTCAGAAAACGGAGGCATATGTTTGTTTACTTTCCCCCCCATGATAAATGTGTTGTTGTTCTCCTTTATGGCCAAAGCACTTGCTACCCTCCTGAGAACTGCATGCAAGCAGCTCTGCTTTCTCTAGGCTTGCCTGGCCTCCCCAGCTACTGGTGGCGGGTGGAGTTGCCAGCTCCAGGTTGGGAAATCCCAGATTTTGGGAAGACAGGGGACAGTACGGTACAGTGCCCTGGAGTCCACCCTCCAAAGCATCCATTTTCTCCAGGGGAACTGATCTCTGCAGTCCGGAGATGAGCTGTAGTTCTGGGAGATCCTCTGGGCCCCACTGGCGGGTTGTTGTTGTTTTGCCATTTCTAGCTCCTTCCTCCCCCTTCGCATGGCTAAAGCCTGGTTTACTCAGGCTGGACCATGAGCCAGTAGAATGCTGATGGGCTGCACCACTTCAGACTGCCAGGGGTGGATTCCAGTTTTAAATGCTCCCCAGTATTTTTCTATTAAGAGAAACTCCATGAAACTAGAAAACAAGCAAAACAGGAAGAAAGGTTTACCCCTCAACTTTACTTGTTGGGCTGATTTTCCAATTGCAGGGGGCTTTCAACACTCCAAAATGTAAAAAAAAACCCCATCTATAATCTGAAGAAGTGCTGTCCATTTGGCCACCTCAGCGTTCTACCCACCCTATTCCCACCTCATCCTCCTGAAGCATAAATCAGACTTTATTATATATATATACACACACAAACACACACACGTGTGTGTGTGTTTGTGTATATCTCTGTGTTATACTGAGTCAGTCCATTGAGCTGCCAAGCCCAGTACTGTTTTGGCGGTGTTTCTGTGATCTCAGGTAGAACTCTTTCTTTCCCAGCGTCTGTTATGCAAAACCCTTTTAGTGGGGATGGAATTGGAGACCTCTGGCTTGAAAGGTAGCCGCTCTCCTACCAAGCAGCAGCCCTTCAAACTCTGAAATGCTGTCATTTCTCCAGTTTTTCAGAGATATTTGCCTCCACATCCCTGACGCCTTCTCTGCCATCCGTTTCTTTAACTCCAGTCAGGATTTCTGGTTCGTCTCGGGAAATGAGGAGCCCCCCCCCCCCTTGTCATCTTTCCTTTTCTAATCAGACAGTGCCCCTTTCTAAAAAGTATCATGTTCAGTTATGGAAGTTCCCAGATCTATTGGGGTGGGGAGAAGAAAGGGGAACTGGCTGGCAAGGAAAGATGAGTCAGGCCTACTCCTGGCACACCTGTAGCTTCTTGAGGTTGTTCATGGTGAATAATTAAAAGTGGGCTTTATACTCAACTATTCAACAGTGTCTGGTGTGCCATTTCAGCCTTAACTAAGAGTACAGTGATACGTTCCTGGATGGTCACATAGACTTTATTTCTGTAGCTGTGTTCAGACAAACATCTCTGCTTGAGTGGGACGGGTATGGCCTTCCTTTGGCCTTGTGACATAGGCCCTTCATCATGCTAATTCTTACTATCCTTGAGAGCCGAGGTGGAACAGGAGGGGCACAACAACCAAGCACAATAAGCCCTCAGTAGCCACCACCATGCTGTAGGTGGATACCTCCATTTCTAGGTCAGTACTCCTGCCTGAGAACCCTTCTCTTCCATCTCCTGCTTTGTTGGACAGTGCATCAGCCATATTGGTGAAACTTTGCATCTCCATGAATGGGAACAGGGCCCCTGAGATTGTCTTTGGAGGCCCCTATGCTGTGCCCTGAGGTCCCTGCCTCTAGCAGTTTAGCAGATAGTGACTAGAGAGTGACAGGGATTTTTCAGTGGTGGCACCTCAGCTGAGGCAAAATCCTTCCCAGAAGAGCTCATCTGATGCTATTTCATATTCAATAATTGTATATTTAATGTCACCAGTGGTCTTTGTTGTTTGTTTTTAGTGTGTGTTTTTAGATCTACTAAGGCTAGTTCAGATACTAGGTGATTAATGTTATTCTATATATGGAATTATGGAACAATTTATCGAATAATTATTCTAACAAGCAAATAATGACTGTTTTAATATGGAAATGTTAAATTGTTTTCTTTTGGATTGTAAATTGCCATGCAGACTTTCAGAAATGAAGAGATGAGATTCAAATCTTAGGGTTTTAAGGGTTTCTTTTTAAAGAAGAAGAAGAATTAGCTTTTATACCCCACTCTTCACTACCCAAAGGAGTCTTGGAGCGGCTTACAATCACCTTCCCTTCCTCTACCCACAACAGACACCTTGTGAGGTAAGTAGGGCTAAGAGAGTTCTGAGAGGACTGTGACTGACCCAAGGTCACCCGGCTGGTTTCATGTGGAGGAGCGGGGAATCAAACCCAGTTCTCCAGATTAGAGTCCACCACTCTTAACCCTTAACCACTGCACCACACTGACAGACTGTACACAGCGTGAATACTGGATTCCCTAATTACTGGGGAATTTCAGACAGGTGCTTTCTCCCGGTAGGGAACCGATTCTCAACCGGGTGCTGGTCTGTCATTTCAGACAGAACCCGGTTGAGAATCGGTTCCCTACCGGGATCTGACTGCCATTTCACACTGAAAAGTCTCTGTTCCGTATAGGAACCGGGAGGGAAGCGATTTACCTGTCAACCGCTTCCGAGGAGTCTCCCGTTCCCTCTCCCGGTTCCGATACGGTTCTTTCCCGCCTTTTTTCGGCCGCGCGGGCCCTTTTTTGCGGCGCGGGGGTTTTTTTTTTTTTTTTGAACGTTCGGCTTATAGCGATATATCGATATAACGCTATAGCGATCCCATTGGAATACATTGGAATACTGGTATATCGATATATCGCTATAAGACGGACTTTTTTTAAAAAAAAAAAAGTGGGGAAACAAAGCGGGGCGTGTGTGAAATGCCGAACCACTTGAGAATCGGCTACTTTCCGGTAGGGGCAAGCCGTGTGTGAAACAGCAGCCCTGTACCGGTTCATCTGGAAACGGAAGACTCCCGGCTTGAAACCGGGAGAAGACAGGTAATGTGAAATTCCCCCCTATTACTGCTGACAGATTCATCTTCCCAACAACAAACTGCTGTGATGACTTACTTAGCACTCACTGTGCATGAAACAGTTCGTGGGATACACTGGTTAGACTGTCAATGTGACAGAACCAGGGGTCATTTCCTGCAGGAGCGCACAGGAGCGGAGCTCCGGCAGTAAAGAGCCCAGGGGGCAGGCACATGCAACAAGCCCCGCCCCCTGCTCCCAGCAACCCTCAGTCAGAGCAAGAAGCAGCCAGGTATGTTGCAGAGCCAAAACAGTCCAAAACAGTCCAGTGGCACCTTTAAGACCAGGTTTTATTAAGGTACAAGCTCTCCCTCCTCTGCGAGAGCAGATCTGCCCCCCCCCAATAGCTAGCAATCCAAAACAGTCCAGTGGAGCCTGAGCGGTGGGTGTTGCCTTCTGACACACTTCTGGTGATGTCAGGGGGTGTGGCATATGCAGATAAGTTATGCTAATGAGCTCCTGCACCTCTTTTTCTACAAAATGACCCCTGGACAGAACCTGGGTTCAAATCCAACAAACAAACAAACTGGGCCCTCCGTTTCACTTCAGGAACTTCCCAGAGTTGTTTTGAGGAGAAAGGCTGGGAAGGAGAAATCTGGGTATACTACCCTGAGCTCTTTTGGAGGGAAGACAAGAATCAAAACACAGTAAACATAGACATACTAATAGGAAGTGCCAGAGAGTTGTAAATAGGTCTCCTATTTTATTTGTTTGTTTGTTTATTTGTTTGCTTAATTTGTATCCTGCCCTCCCAGCCAAGGCAGGCTCAGGGCATATATATAACACAGCAGGATATGTTAAAATACAGAATTTAAATTAAAACCTCAACATATAAAATCATAGGTACTAGTAAACATAGGTACTAATAGGTGCTAATAACTGAAGGCAGCAATCTCTTGGCATCCAGATGGTCAAGTACCACTATAGTCTGGGTTCTTGCCAGGCTGTTGGTTATTAAGTTGGTGCTGGTATTGGGTGCCGGTATTGGGGCCAGGGCCATAATATTGGGAGGCGGCACCCTAGTCAAAAGTCTGGTGGAAGAGCTACGTTTTACAGGCCCTGCAGATACTCAATGTAAAGTATTCAGAGAGACACTGTGGTTCTAAGCTGTGGAGTCTTGTGAGCAAAAATTCTACTCTGTGAGCTACTGGTATTAAAATTGTGAGCAAGTGATTTGGCTTCTGCATAAATTAGTTTGTTCTGGAACCATTCTTCCTGAGCTAAGACAAAAATGTGTGAGCTGGAGGCTAAAAAACTGTGAGCTAGCTCACACTAACTCAGCTTAGAGGGAACACTGGTTCAGTGGTAGAGCATCTGCTTTGCATGCAGAAGATCCCAGGTTCAATCCCCAGCATCCCCAGCTAAAAGAACCAGGTAGCAAGTGATGTGCAAGACCTTGACTTGAGACCCTGCAGAACTGTTGCCAGTCAGAACTGAGCTTCATAGACCAAAGATCTGACTCAGCATGGCAGCTTTATGTGTATTTGGTTAGGAAAGGCTGTAGCTTAGTGACAGATCATGCAGAAGGTTCCAAGTTCAGTCCCTGACATCTCCAGTTAAAAAGGATCAGGGAGTAGATGATGTGAAAAATCTCTGTATGAGTACCTGGAGAGTGGATGCCAGTCAGACTGGACAATATTGGCCTTGATAGACCAAGGATCTGACTCAGCAGAGCTTCCTGTGTTCTTGTTAAGGGGAAGGGCCATGGTTCAGTGGCAGAACAACTACCTTCCACGCAGAAGGTCCCAGGTTCAATCCCCGACATCTCAAGTTAAAAGGATCAGGTAGGAGGTGATGTAAAAGACCTCCTCTGTCTGAGCCCCTGGAGAACTGCTGCCAATCAGAACAGACAATACCAACATTGATGGAACGATAGTCTGACTCAACATAAGACAACTTCATGTGGTTAAAAAAAGTCTTAAATTATTCAGAAAGTCCCTCCAGTTTCAGAATAAAAAATAAAATCCATTCTGTAAATCTAGCATACATTGTAATCAGCTTGGTACAGGGAGAGCAGAAGCATATCCGGTGTCTTTGTTGTCGTTATAGGGCAGAAGCAGAATCGGTGGGAGAGAGACGTGGGTACCACCTACCGCAAGGAATATCTGCATCGCACTGCTCACCACCTCGATATACTGGTAATCCAGCAAGCACCCAGTGACTGTGATGACATGATGGTCCTCGATGGCCAGGTCAGAGTTCATGATGGGGGTCACCAGGCAACCAGGCCCATTCTCCATCCACCATGAACGATGCAGCGAAGTATTAAAGGTCATGATGAAGTCTCGGTCCTGAGGGAGGAGGGAAAAACAAAAGAGGTGGCGAGGCAAGCTTGAGGACTGGCAATCAACAGCTCTCAAGCACACAACCTGATGGCATCATGAAGATAAGCTGAAAGGGTGGCTAGAGACAACAAAAATCACACCGCAGATAGAATATCTGCTCTACATGCAGAAGGATTGAGGCCAGTCAGAGGAGACAATAATGACCTTGGTATACCAATACTTTGCCTCAGTCTAAAATAGATTCATGTGCTCAGGAACATCATACCAAGAAAGCACCAGAAGGCCGGGTCCCAAAACTGCATTGCTGGGCTTACAGAGTTTGGTGCAATAGGAAGAGAAAAACCCCACTGTCACCCAAACCTGAATCTGATACTTCATGTACTCCTGGAAGTTGGTGTAAAAATGTAAATAAATAAAACAACTCCAGAGATCATATTACAGATTCTGCTATATCTAATTCAGTTTGTCTCTCAACGTTTGCTAGAATTCCGTGATGTGTTAGAGCCAGCTTTATTTAGTTGTTAAGAGTGTCGGACTGAAATCTGGGAGACCCAGGTTCAAATCCTGACTCAGCTATGGAAACGCACTGGGTCCCCTGGGGTGTCGCACTCTCAGCCTAGCCTACCTTGCAGGATGGTATTTGTGGGGATAAAATAGAGGAAGGGGGAGGAAGGGACAATGCTGTAAGATGTTTTGGGTCCCTACTGAGAAGAAAAGTGGACAGTAAATTTCTAAATACATTTGTGAGTGTAAAGTGCCACCAAGTTGCAGCTGACTTATGGCAACCCCAGCAAGGGGCATTCAAGGCAAGTGAGAAGCAGAGATGCTTTGCCATGGTCTTCCTCTGAAAAGTCTTCCTTGGTGGTCTCTCATCCAAGTTCCGACTCTGTTTAGCTTCTGAGCTCTGTCGAGATCAGGCTAAACTGTGGATGGAGGTCACAACATTGGAGAAAGTAGGGTTTAAGTCACCCCCCTCCTTGATACCATTTACTCTGTCAAAATGACCTTGGTGATTCCTTTAAACCCAGCTTAGGGGAAAAGACTCTTACTGTGCCTGTCTTTGTCCCCACTGGAATTTAAACCAGTCCAGAGGGACCAACTCCAATTGGGAAAATGGTGTGAGGAGATTAAGGACAAAAATGGTCTAAGCCTAAACTATTTGCAGTGTAATCCCAACCAGATGTTCTGCTCCTCAGCCAAACCCCCTCCCAGCTTGCATATATAACCTGCCTAGGCAACATGTCTTTTTCTTCCCTCCGGCATGGCTTGCAAAGTCTCCGGCTCCCCTAATCTTTCTAGCCCACAGCCCACATCCTCCCGCCACCTGATGCACACGACACTAATTTACTGAAACAGCTGGCTGGTGTTGGACTTCCTTCCAGGACTGACCAGCTCTAATCAATATGTCTGGCCAAACTGAAAAGAGATTCGATTAAGGGATTTAAGCCCCGCTTGAAATGGCTGCTCTTGCTTCAGATGCAGCGACTGACAGGTCTGAAGTCTCTTCGCCCAGGGGAATTCGCACTAGCTGCTATTGGAACTGATGCCTACTTGGTCACATGCAGTATAGGGGGCTATCAGAACACTCTGCAGGAGTGACCCACCCTTTTTTGGCTCTTGTTTCTGAATCTTTGGCTCTTTTAAAATTGAATATACAGAAATGGTCTGGTCAAGATCTCCTGGCTGACAGTCCATAATTTGACATGTGGTTAACTTCTTTTTCATGTTTCTTAGAAATATAAGAAACTGAAGAATTCATTATATCTGAAGAAGTGAGCAGTTACTCATGAAAGCCCATCCCCTGCCATACTTTAAGGTGTTACAGGACTCTTGCTCTTTTCTACTGCTGCAGACAGACTAACACGGCTACCTATCTTGATCTATTAATTATATTGTTTATTCTTCCATGTATTTACACACTTGCTAACAGTGTATTGAATATTCTTTACAAGCCTATACTTGTCACATTTTTTTCACATTGTAGGGTCAGGTGGTGTTACAATACACCCCAGTTTTTATATACTTTTCTGTACCTGCATATTTGTGCTCATCTAGAGGGCCCAGGCAAGCTTGAACTCATCAGATCTCAGAAGCTAAGCAGGATTGAACCTAGTTAGTAGTTGGATGGGAGACTGCAAAGGAAGTCCAGGGTCACTATGCAGAGGCAGGCAACGGCAAACCACTCCTTTTTGTCCTTTGCCTTAAAAACCCTACAGGGTTGACAGAAGTTGGCCGTAATTTGACAGAACTTTCCTCCACACTCGTGCACCTTGTTTTTGTATTCCTTCAGGGTGTTCCTTCTTGTTTTCTCTGTTGTAGAGTGGGGATTTGAACCAGGGACCTAGTCTGGTGTAGAAGAAGAAGAGAAGAGATTGGATTTATACCCCGCCCTTCACTTGGAGTCTCAGAGCGGCTTACAAACTCCTTTCCCTTCCCTTCCCCACAACAGACACCCTGTGAGGTGGGTGGGGCTGAGAGAACTCTGACACAAACTGCTCTTTTTTCAAGGACAGCTGTGCCAGAGCTTGTGACTGACCCAAGGTCACATCAGCAGGTGCAAGTGGAGGAGTGGGGAATCAAACCCGGTTCTCCCAGATTAGAGTCTGGCCACTTAACCACTACACCAAACTGGCTCTGTGGTTAAGTAGTTAAGAGCAGCGGACTTTGATCTGGAGAACCATGTTTGATTCCCCACTCCTCCACACGAAGCCAGCTGGGTGACCTTGGGTCAGTCACAGTTCTCTCAGAGCTGTTCTCTCAAGAGCAGTTCTCTCAAAGCTCTCTCAGCCCCACCTACCTCACAGGGTGTCTGTTGCAGGGAGAGGAAGGGAAGGAGATTGTAAGCCACTCTGAGTGAAGGGCAGGGTATAAATCCAACTCTTCTCCTCCTCCAACCACAAACACTTCTTTGGCACATCTTGAGATCATCAGAACCCATGCATAATCAGTCTAGAAGTAGGTGCCTACAAAGGAAGCTTTAAGCCTGACTCACTGGACGTCCAGATGGGAATGTTAGTAGCTCAGTGGTAGAGTACCTGCTTGGTATACAGAAGGTCTCCTGTTCACATGAATACATGGAGCCGCCTTATACTAAGATCCTTGACCTATCAAGATCAGTGTTTGCAGCTCTTTGGAGACGCAGGTGGAGGTCTTTCACAGCTATCTGATCCTGCTGACTGGAGATGCCAGGGACTGAACCTGGAAGCTTCGGGATGCAAAACAGATACTCTGACACTGAGCCAAGGCCTCTTCCCCTCTTCAATCATTAGCAACTCCAGGGATCTTAGGAAGCAATGCAAAGAAAGACCTCATCCCAAGACTTTGAAGAGCTGAACAGATAGCACTGGGCTCAACGGAAATGTGCTTTGACCAACAGGAGCCGTTTCAAATGTTCAGAAGCGCTAGCTGGAGAAGAGACTTCAGAAACCAAACACATTCTACTTGTTTCCCCAAGCAAGCTTGTGGGTCAGTCATTTGATGTTGCATACACTGTTCTTGCTGCAAAAGGTCTGCCTTTGTGAAAATATCTGTGCAAAACATGCAGTCTGATCCGGCACCATCCTACACATCTGCGAGGACAGAAATGCCCTAAATACACTGCCTAAAGGTAGGTGCAGCTGATAGCAGTGTACTCTAACATGATGTGTCAATTGCAACTAATCCAAGAAAACATGCACAGGATCCAGTTGAACAATGGAGGGATTAAGCAGACATCTCCTCCAAAGCTGTCGTTTGCTTTTTAATATTAATGCAAATTAATTCCAGTTCTCCTGCATCTGGTTGTGATGTGAAGCAATATTACGCATTCCACTCATTTTGACTTTTACTCCCTCCCCTTCTCCTCTGCAGGATGATTATAAAAATGATGACAATTTCAAATTCAGTACATCTTGCCATCTTTTGATCAGCCTCTGTTCAGCACTGAACACATGACAACACCCCTATAAGGTAGGCCAGTCCTTTTATCTCTACACTGCACCTAGGGGCTGAGGCAGTGTAGCTTACCTACCTGCCTCCCCAACATATTCATATCTCAGTTGAGCCAAAGGAAAAACTGAGGCATCCCTGATTGTTAATGTACAAGTATTTTCAGAAGGACTGATAGATTTAGAGGCAAACTAGACTTTACGTGGCACTCTCCTGAAGTTTTTTTAATGAAAAGAAGCCATGGGGAGGCTACAGATTTGACTGGAGACACGGTGGGGGAGGTGCTTAACCCTTTGGTGTAGTGGTTTGGTGTAGTGGTTAAGTGCGCGGACTCTAATCTGGGAGAACCGGGTTTGATTCCCCACTCCTCCACTTGCACCTGCTGGATGACCTTGGGCAAGCCATAGTTCTGGCACAGCTGTTCTCGAAAAAGAGCAGTTTCTGTCAGAGCTCTCTCAGCCCCACCTACCCACAGGGTGTGTGTTGTGGGGAGGGGAAGGGAAGGGAAAGGAGTTTGTAAGCCACTCTGAGACTCCTTTGGGTAGTGAAGGGCGGGGTATAAATCCAACCTCTTCTTTTTCTTTTCCCTCTAGCCCAGAGGTCCCCAATGTTTTTGAGCCTGTGGACACTTGGCATTCTGACACAATGTGTTGGCCACAGCCACAAAATGGCTGCTGCTGCTGCAGGATACGGAGGTAGCCACTAAAATGGCTGCTGCCTCTTCAGTCATCAGAAGATCCTTGCTGTGGTGACAGCTACTGCCAAACCAATATCTCTAAAAAAAACCCTGCACAGCCAATCAAATCTCCAATGGTGAATCAAAACCTTTGCTAGGCAAATGCCCCACCTGGCCCCACCCACTTTTCTAAAAACCTTTGGTGGGCAGGGCACCAGGAAAGATGCTGGTGGGCATCAAGGCACCCACAGGCACCACGTTGGGGGACCCCTGCTCTAGTCTCTCTAACAGGGCCATCCTAAGCATCCTATTGATCCACAATCAAGTTGCAGCCCTGTTTTCTTCCTTCCCACTCACCAATATCCCGTAGTTTACAGAAACAAATGGGAAGTCAGCAGTATGATCCGTTTGTGTTTTCTTAGTATACTGGCATAGCAGTTTCAGATGGAGATTTCCCCCCCTCCCCAATTCCTCTCAAAAAGGACATTTCCCATTAAAGAGGCGTGTCACTTTCGATTGGAAGGCACACGTTTTTCGAAAAGATAACAAAACCGTCACCCCTTCAATTTGCAGAGTGGCACGCCATTTCAGATCTCTCCCGGCATCCTTTTCCATCAGCCCCGATACGCCGATTCTGCATGGCACCATCGGCGCACAGGAAGGAAGAAAGACATCTTCAAACAGCCATAGCATCTTTATGACACAGAGCCCCCTCCTGAACTCTAATCTCTATTTGACGGGTGCCGTTGCAGTGCAAAGATGATGGATGGAAAGCCTTAGGATTGTCAGGTGGATCAGTGGTTCGAGAAGGGCATGCACTCGGCGTGATTACTGAGGTAATTACCTGTGAAAGGTGTCCTACTTCCAGGTAAAAACAGATGATGAATGCATTCCATCCAACCCACAGCACGAGCCATACTGCATACTGGAAGGGGAGGGGGAGAGAGAGAGAGAGAGAGAGAGAGAGAGAGAAGGCAGGGTGATGGTCAAGAATGGTGCACGGAGGAGCCTGATAGCAGCAGATGAGACAGAATGCCTCGAGGCACTGCCTTGACCTCAATCACTCTGGGTCTAAAAGGCAACAGAAGGCGCTAGTAGATTCCCCAGGATTATGGGTCTGCCTCACAGTATATCTGACTCTATGCTGACTGCTTCAGAGGTCCCCAATCTTATTGAGCCTTGTGGTCATTTTGGGAAAGTTGAGAAAGGGTAGCGAGTGCCACCACAAAATGGCTGCCATGGGAGATGGGGCCAATCACAAAATGTCTCCCCTGAGGGCAAGTACAAAATACTGCAAAGTTCCAAGCCAAGTATCCTCCAATGAAGGGGGCAGATGGGTGCTCCCTGCAGCCCCAAAGATGATACCATCTTCTGAAGTATCTCCTACTTCAATGAAGTGGATGAAAGCCAGGAATGGCTCTTTGCTTTGGGGAAAGAAGCCGGTGGGCTCCAGAAAACAGCCTGGCCATGGGTGGTTTCCTGGAGATCACTGGTCTGCTCTGACACACAGCAAGCAACTGTGCTATACCCAAACACACTTCCCTCACCCCAACTATATGGCTGGAGACAATGGTGGCAGCAGGATCAGGCCTTACTGGAGCTATCTGCAGGACAGATGTCCATTTCAGTGGCCTCATCTAATTTCCGACACAGCTGAGACACTGAAGAATGCTGAGCAAATACTTGTGATGTGGCAACTAGAAGTCCCTTAAGGGGCAGCTTTACAACCTTTATAAAAAGGTACAGGTGATGATCAGCGATCCCCTATGAGGCCTCCAAATTGTCACACACTAACGTTTGTGGGGCAGCAGTCAAACATCTAGAAAATATAACCAGTTTTTCCCCAAGCATCAGCAATCTAAGATTCATGAGATTAGAAAACACGTGAAAAAGGTTTCCTTTATGCTGAAGTGCCCAGAATAGGACACAGCAAACACAACCCATAGGAAAAGCTTCAATTGAAGTCAAATTCTTGTGAAACATACAGGAAGCATATAAAAGCTTTCTACATGACCTGTTTGTTCCCTTAATTGATGTACATACCGCAGGCAAAATTGATCTACATACAGCCCCACACACTGCCCATGCACTATCACTGGTTTGTGAACACATGAAGGCAGTATGTGCATATGATCAGGAATGGAAGATTTGTATTCTCTTACCGTGAAGCTTCCTTCTCGGTGGTCCAGAGTGGGGCAGTCCTTGACTCCTTACTCCTGGGAAAGCACCTCCCCCTTCCGTAGGTAGGGCCGGCAAACTTTGATCCCAGAGGGGAGGGGCTTATCCTCTGATCCCCAGTCATACCGAAAGCCACCTCCGAGCTGCTGTAAATCCACTTAAAAAATAACTCCTTCCCCCTCAGACAACTGGGGAATACCATCACAGCCATGGGCTTAAACAAATACAAACCTGTATTTTAACCATTAGAGCAAACAAACAGCTACAGTCCACCACATCAAGTAATCAGTTAGACCATATTCATGAACAGCTGAACCACTGCAAAACGTAAAGGACCGGAAGTCGTGTCCATCAAGAGAGGGTGGGTAGAACTGCCCCACTCTGGACCACCAAGAAGGAAGCTTCACGGTAAGTGAATACAAATCTTCTATTCTCCGGTGGTCCCGGAGTGGGGCAGTCCTTGACGCCTTACTCCTGGGACGTAAAAAAGCAGTGCTCCCCCCAGGTGGGTCACACAACTTCCGGTGCCTACAGGGCCTGAAGGAGCACTCTACTTTCAAATGCTGCTTCTGCCGAGGCTAGTTTTTCAATCCTATAGTACTTTGTAAAGGAATAGACAAATTTCCATGTCACCACCTTACAAGTGACTTCTAGAGATGGCAAGGCCCTATATGCCGCCGATGTGACTGCCCCCCCATAGAGTGCCCTGTGACCCCTACCGGAGGTACTAACCCCTACACCTTGTATGTTCTTTCCCAGGGACAACTGACTAACATACCCAAACAAGGATTCAGTCTTTCTCAACCCCCTGGTCCTGTCCATATAGAAAACTCAAAACCCTACGCACGTCTAGATGATGCCAGACCATCACCATCTCATGGCCAGGGTTTGAAGAAAAGGAGGGAAGTACCATATCTTCCTATCTATGGAACCAGGAGTTAACTTTGGGGATGAACGCTGGGGCTGGTCTGAGGACGACCCTGTCGTTGTAGAAGGTACATAAAAATCTGTGTACTGACAAAGCTCTCAGCCCCAAAAACCTATGCGCTGAAGTGATCTCCACTAAGGAATTGTTTTCAGAGTAATATCTTTCATGGGACATGATGCCATTGGTTCAAAGAGCTCCCTGCATAGTGCTCGTAGCACTGCATTTAAATTCCTTTTTTTTAAGCCCCCGGAGGGGATTTTTTATTGCATTTTTATAACACTACAGGCTACAACAGAAAATGGGAGGGGGGACTACATTTATAGGATAAAGAAAGATACCCACTACTGACTAAAAACCCAAGAGAGGAGATCATCCCACCATCTTAACCATACATTTAGTCTTAATCCCGTTAATCTTACTGTAATGATTCCTTGTTTTATATGTGTGTGTGTCTCTTTAAACGTTTGGTTGCCTGGCTGTGTGATAAAATAGAGTGGTTGAAGAGACAAGTGTGGTGTGATTGGTGATTGACAGAGAGGGGGAGGGGTTTTAGAAGTGTTTCTGAGTAGATGAATAGGTATGTCTGTCGAGAGTGACAGTTACAGGTTTGACAGTTGATAAAGACAGTTGATAAGTTAGTTCTGAAGTCTGGGAGAGAAGTAGTCTTGTGTGTGATATAGGAGCTAGTTCTGTGTATGGAAAAAAGTTGAATGTATATGAAACAGTAAAGTAAAGTTTAAGAGAACAGAAATTATATGAATGTCTGAGTGACAGACTGGAGGGAAAGAAGAAACGTAGATGATCTTGAGTTAAAGAGTTACAAAGTTACCTGATAAATCCCTAAAGAGAAAAGGAGCAATGTGTGAGACACCAAACAATTGATCAGAATATTCACAATACCAGTTACTTTGTTATACCTTTTTATTTATGAAGTATTTCAATAAATCTACTTTTATTTAAACATACCAGCTGAAAGGAATCCTTCCTCAGGAACACTTAGTACCTTGAAAAGCCTTAAACTCGACCTACCTACCCAGTAATAGAAACAGTATAGTATAAAGGTTTGGAAAGCCTTAAATTTCCTGGTGGCAGCCGGCTATCCCCAATATAACAAAATAAAAAGAACACTTTTAAAGTGAAACCAGGCCTCCCCAGATAAGGGGTCGTCACACTTACTATCAACTGAGTCAAGTTTAACATTATCTTTGTCAAATCTTTAGTTTAACTGTCATACAGAAACACCCCAAAGCATCTCACTTCAACATTTTTTAAAAGGCACAATTCAGAGTCCTTCAACCTTTACTTCTCCTTGCTTAGTCTCTTCCAAAGCTTATTAGAACTTTTAGGGGCTGCCACCCCTTTCTCTGATAGAGAGTCCTCCCCGGAGGATTCCGAGCCCAGCTCGCCATTGGACTTACTTGTACATTAACAATCCTCTCCTTTTTCTCCTTCCTTCCCTGGCCCTCCCATCTGGACTCTTAAAAATTTCCGTGCTTTCTGGACAGAGTCAATCTTTTTTTTTATCCTTGATTTTAAAGGTCACGCCTTCTGGAGTTAACCATCTATATCCAATTGCATTTGTCTGTAGAAAAAGAATTAATTCTTTATATTTCTTTCTCCTTTGTCTTATTTCAAATGGAATGTCTTTTAATGTCCTGATGGTATTCTCCCCCACTTTCACGGGTGCTCCAGATACTGCTTTCAGGATTGTATCTCTCACATGCCTCTTTGAGAATCTTACCACAATTTCCCCAGGCAGATTGTTTTTCTTTATATATCCTGAATATGACCTATAGGCCACATCCATTTAGTTTAACAAGAGTTCCGCCTTCATATCTGTCACTGGGGCCAATACTTCACTCATTAGTTCCTTAAGATTCTCTCCCTTTGTCTCTGGCAAGCCCTGGAAGCGAAGGATCATATTAGCCTTTTCCATTTGTAATTGTAGCAGTTGATCTTCCGTAGAAACTTGCTACTTTTGCAGCTTTTGAACTTTCTTTTTCGCCTTTTGTGGAGTGGCGTCCACTTCTTTCACCTTTTCAGCCGTTTCCTTCATCATTTTAAGTGTCTCGGTTATCTGTGTCTGCTGTGTGGTGATGCACTGAGTCATTTTCGACATCTGATCCTTGAGGTTACTCATTTGGTCCAGTAGAGGGCGCATGGATTCTGCCAAAGTCTTTGCCAGCTCATTAGCTCCTTCCGGTTTAGGGCTCTCCATTAGTTTCGATTTTGAAAGTTTCTCTTTCTCCGTCCTCTTCCCCGCCATCTTTCTCAGTTGTTTACTTTAAAAAGTAAAGTCTCTGAATATGCGTTGAAACACCTGAACTCGCCTTGGTAAGTATTTCTTAATAGTTATGCATGCCTCTCTTCCCCCCTCGATTCGCTCAAAAGTTCATGCAGTTAGGAGGCATCCCTCCCCCGCCCGCTTCACTTTCCGTTTTTCACCATGGGGTAGGGAGCTTACTTTTTCTCTTTAACCGTCGTTTCGCTCAGTCAGACTCACGTTCATATCTGGTCTTCCGACCCCGCTTTACTTCATTTCATCTGCTCAATCTCCTACACTTGCCCCGGTCAGCGTCACTAGGTCCCATTCCGACACTGCGCAGGAAGGACCATTGGGATGGAGGAGCGCCTCAATTCACCCACAACGCATAGGCGAAGAGGCGACTCCTCATAAGTCCCCTGGCTAGGAGCCTTCTGCCAGGCTCCCTGGGGGGGTAATGGGCCAGCGCTCCCCCTCCTTCCCGCTGTGCACAGACCTCATTCCCGGGAGGTCCGGGAGATGCGTCTGTCTAGCGTGCCGCCAT